GAACAATGATGTTGTCAACATAGCTTCTCATGTTATAGGCGAGTCCACGATCACTGCTAAAGTGACACTTCTCTAGCAATCCAAAGCCTTCTGGCTCACCACGGTCTACGGTCCAGTAGACGACGCTAGAAAGACTGCTTTTCTCGCTGAATTAGCTAGAATGCCCCCCCTCCAACTGATTTGTGGCTCATGGATGGATATTTTAACCTCATTTATGAGGCAAGGGACAAGATTCACCTGAACCATAGGATCATGGGCATGTTCAGGCAAGCCATCGACAACGCCGGCCTGAAAGAGATCAAGTGCAAAAATCGTCGTCACCTGGAGCAACGAGCGCAAAAACCCGACACTCGTCAGCATCGACAGATTCTTCTGCAACTGCAGCTGGGAAGACCTATTCCGCTACAGCATGCTGATGGTGGTGTCCACGACATGCTCTGACCACTGCCCCCTACTTCTAGCTGATGCAACTGCTCTGCGCCGTCGTGCTCACCTCAAATTTGAAAGCTTCTGGTTGCGGTTCGCTCACTTCCATGAGACGGTCGATCGTGCATGGAGCAGGCCATTGCAGAGTGGCTGTGCTTTCAAGCGCTTGTCTATCAAGATGGCGCGAACTGCTCGAGACTTGAAGATCTGGAGCTCCTCCCTCTTCAGCAACGCCAAGCTACAATTCCACATAGCAACTGAGATTATCCTGTGCCTAGATGTAGCCCAAGAATCCCGCAACCTCTCCACACCTGGATTCAATCTCCGACGGCTTCTCAAGCAGAGATTGCTCGGCCTTGCCGCGATCGAGCGTGCGCGCAAACGTCAAGCACCCTAGCTGACATGGCTCAAGAGGGGCGACGCGGGAACCAAGTTCTTCCATGCAATTTTTTTCTCGCGGCGCAGAAAAAACTTCATCCACAGCCTGCAGACAAACAACGGGATTGCCACAGCTCACGAGGATAAGGCGGCAGTCATTTTTGAGCACTTCAACTCCGTCCTCGGTTCCAAAGGAGCATGCCCAAGATCCATTGACTGGCGCCAGTTACAGCTGCCCACGATCTGTGGGGGAGGCCTGGACAATACATTCAGTGAAGACGAGATCTGGGAGGTGATCAAGGCCTCGTCGGCAGAAAAAGCTCCGGGGCCGGACGGCTTCATAGGAACTTTCTTCCGTAGTTGTTGGCAAACTATCAAACATGACATCATGCAGGCATTCTACTAGTTCTACTGCATGGCCGGTGACGACCTTGCTTCCCTCAACTCTGCCCTGGTCGTACTAATCCCGAAGAAAGATGGTGCAGCAACAGTTTAAGATTTTAGGCCAATTAGTCTAGTCCACTCCATAGCTAAGCTGATCACCAAAGTACTCTCCATGCAGCTCTCCAACGCCATCGACTCCATAATCTTGCTGGCCCAATCTGCCTTCCTGGCAAAGAAGAGCACGCATATAGCTTCCTCTACGTCCAAAATGCAGTTAGATCATTGCACAGAAAAAAGACGTTGGCGCTCCTACTCAAACTAGATATAGCAAAAGCTTTCGATAATGTCTCCTGGAAGTATCTTCTTCAGCTGCTACAAGTCCTAGGCTTCTCAGCTAGATGGCGTGATTGGATCGCCATTCTGCTGGCAATGTCAACCTCCTCCTTCTTGCTGAACGGCACGGCGGGGAAGCAAATTATGCACTGTCGAGGCCTCAGGCAGGGCAAACCCCCTGTCCCCTCTCCTTTTCATCATTGCCATCGACCCCCTGCATCGTCTCCTCCAACATGCCATGGAGCTTGGCCACCTCGGCCCGCTTCCAGGCAAGGACCTTTCGCTGCGTGTGAGTCTTTATGCAGACAACGCCATCATTTTTGCCAACCCAGTGAAGGAGGAAATTGATACTCTGATGAACATTCTTCATGATTTTGGGCAAACATCAGGGCTGAAAGTTAACCTTCTGAAATCATCAGTCGCCGCAATCAGGTGCGACCACATCGACCTACAGCAGGTGCTCCAAAATTTTGGAGGACAGCACGCCCAGTTCCCTCTATGGTATCTTGGTCTGCCAGTCACCATCTCTAGGTTGCGCGTAGTTCATCTGTAGTTCATCTTGGACCGGATCAGAGCTCGACTGGTGGGATGGAAAGGAAGACTCATGTCCATAGCAGGTAGGAGAGTGCTAGTCAGAAGCATTTTGAGTATACTCCCAACATTTGCCCTCACAGTACTGAAGGTACCAAAAAATCTCCTAGCCGAGGTGGACAAGATTAGAAGGTGTTTTCTTTAGGCCCAAGAAGAAGAAGTCAGCGGCGGGAAATGCAAAGTCAGCTGGCCAGTGGTCTGCACCCCGGTCGACAATGGTGGCCTGTGCATCTCAAATTTGCATCGCTTCAGCCATGCACTCAGACTCAGATGGCTGTGGTTCTCTTGGATCACACCCAACAGGCCCTGGGTAGTCATGCAGCTGCCATGCGATCGAGGAGACAGAGATCTCTTCAACGCCTCAACAATGATAACACTGGGCGATGGGAAGACGGCCATCTTCTGGGACAGCTCCTAGACTGGTGCGGGAACGCTGAAAATGGAGTTTCCGGAGCTCCACGAGAACACAAGAAGAAAGAATAGGACAGTCCAAGCGGCACTCCTAAATGCCACCTGGGTTGCTGACACACGGGAACACGCAGCAGCTTTGGCCCGATGTGATCCGCCTGAACAGATGGTTCATCTCGAAGAACATAAACCTTAACGGCCAAGTTTGAGACACAATTCAATGGAAGCACGAGGCCTCGGGATCCTTCTCCACCAACTCGGCATACAACTGTCAGTTTCAAGGGATGATAAGGACAACGTTCAGAAAGATGCCATGGCAAGTGTGGGCACCGGCCCGGCTAAAGTTTATGGTCTGGCTGCTGCTCAAGAACCAAGAACATGCTATGGTGCAATGATCAGCTTAAGAGAAGAGGATGGCCAAATGAATATTTTTGCCAGTTTTGCTTCAGAAACTTGGAAACCTCTCAACACCTGTTCTGGAATTGCCCCTTTTCATCTTCAGTCTCAACAAGAGCTGCCCAAGGAAATGGCTGCAGCTCCTTGCACCCTGCAAAATGGCAGCACAAGACCAAAGATGTGGAGATCATAGCGGAAATGATAAACGGCGCAAGGCCCGAGCACAAGAAGGCAGTCAGGACAATGATCATCCTGGTGTTAGGAGACATTTGGCATCGGCGCAATCAATGCACCTTCAGACACAAGATAGCAAACCTGACCGAAACCACGGCAAGCATCAGAAGGACCTTTGAATTATGGCGCCAAGCACGAGCAACCCACCTAGGGCCCCCGTTCCGGGATCCACCTTGAGTAGTTAACCTGCTGGCCTAGCACTGGGGTATTTTTTTTAGATCTTCTTTTTTACTCCTTGATCGCAAGATCGAACAATACCATTTGTTTTCCCGCATGCTCTCTGCTATGAATCAATATATGCCAGCCATCAGCTGGACCTTTTCAAAAAAAAAGGTTTCTACCTCATGATGGCTCGGCCACGCGAGGTGGATGCGTTCGGATCTGTCGCTATCTGTCAAACAATTGGCAATTATTGTTTTTTTGCGATGAGAAAGAGTTTATTCCATAAGAACAGAGTTACAATCAAGAGGCATGAGGTCATCAATACATGGAGGTGCACAACGCAACTAGACAGATGTACATGACTCCGTACAGCTATAAAAAGCCAACCGATCTGCAACTCTATTTTGTGAGTGCCTAATCTTCTAGGAAACAAACTTCTTATCAGCCATGAGAGCCTTAATCTCAGCTGCCAATTGGCCATATGCTGAACGTAATAGGTTGTCATTAGAAAGGATTGATAGTGTGCAACCATTGAGTCAGATTGCACAAGCACTGGCATATCCAGATGTTGGATGGCTAGAGCCATTCCTTGCATCAAAGCATGAATTTCTATTTTCAGAACATCATTATAGTGAAATAATACTCTGTATGCTACAAAAATTATAGCACCATCCTCCTTTCGTGGCACCATCCCCCGCCATCGCCGACTCATCACTTGGACAGATAGATTCGTCCACTGACAGTATATCCCAATTCGCCGGAGGTGGTGGCCAGAGTTGGTTAGCAATTATCATTGTCCAGCTGTAAAATGTTAATTTTCACCTTGCCAGTGTGATTGCTTTTTTATGTTGTATTAGGAAAAGTTACACAAGTTTAAGTGTACGCTTTTTAGGATGACATGTATTCCTTAGGAATGGAGGCAGTAGATTTATTTACATGCAACAAAGTGGACAGTGAATTTTAATATACATCTGACTTCAGATTTTATTTTCAGGTAAAAACTCTAACACTCTCAGTTGCGTCGGATCCCGATTGAACGCATGCCAATTTTTTCTGACAAATTTTTACACTGCACAACAGTATTCACTTTAGAACATAACAAATCCTATACACAAGCATGCCAATTTTATCAGTTGTCGCATGGAAATCTGATTGTCAGATTTTTAGCGTCAAAAAGTTATTGTCTAATTTTTAACATTTCCGTAAATAAGTAAAAACACTAGCAAAAATTGAAGCGTTTGGATATATAATGTATAACTGACCTGCTGATATACACGGTACATACAAGAGTTGCAACCAATTTATATATGTTAATTTATTACAACAATGTACAAATGTACAAGTGTACAAGTGCAACCATAACATGCACGCAGAACCACCTATCCTTCTCTCATCTCTCACAGTAGAAACGAGAGAAAAAGGTCGCAAAAACCATTTCTCACGGTGAGCTAACAAGCTCAGAAAACCTTTGTGTTCCCGGCCCTTCTCCACTGCCGCGGAATCACCGAGGAAAGAAACGAAAAAGGACAAAATCATTCCCGGCGAATAAAACAGACACTAAAGCAGCTTCGACAAATTTGTGTGTGGGTGTGTGTAATTTCATGCCATGCCCGTGACTGAGACGAGCACGACGCAATCTGTACCGCGCGCGCAGCAATCGACACGCACGGTGCAACGGCCTGGCTAGGTCAGGTGACGGCGCACGGGGCGGCGGCGGCCGCGCCGCCGGTGCGCTTGACGAAGCGGCCCTTCATCCGGGGCCGCTTCTCCGCGTTCAGCTTCCGCACCTCGTAGCGTATTTTCTTGGCGAACAGCCGTGTCCGCCGCTTCTCCCGGTACCGCGACACCCGCGCCTCCCGCCACTCGTCCGTCCTTGGCCTCGGCGGCCACGCCGCATCGCCATGCCGTCCTCCTCCTCCGGCCGTCCACATGCCCTACACCATGCACGATGGTTAGATACAGTTAACTGTATCGAGCATATAGTGAATTAAGCTGCAAAATCGTGCATGTACCGCGTGGTCGTGGAGCAACAAGTCGTCGAGCTGGCCGGACGGCCGCCGGCCGTCGGTCCACGGCGAGCTGCCCCAGCTCTCCATGACCGCCTCGTAGTTCAGCCTAAGATCCAGGCTCCTCTTCAAGAACTGCGCATCGTCAACGGCGTCTCCGTTGCTCGCCGTCGACGTCTTGTGCTCGAAACTGTCGTCGTCATCCACCAGTGTCGGCGGGCTGCCGTTGAACTCCCGCTTCAGGTCATGGCCAGACGCCAGAACGCCGTTGCTTCGGGAGACAAGGCTGCCGTCGGCCTCCACCTTTACCCGCCCGCCGTGTTCCCCCGGCGGCGATATGAGCCCTAGGGCCTCCATGTAGAACGAGTCCTCCAGCTCGTTGCCGTCGTCCAGGCCTTGGCCGAGGAGCGCTTCCATGTCGGCCGCGAACTCCCTGAGATCGGCGTCCGTCGGGCCGAAACTGGCAAAACAATCGGGGAGCTCCTGCACGGGGGACGGTGTGGCCATGTGCTCCTTCGTGTCCTCCACGGCGCCTTCGACGTCCTCACCGTGGCGTGAGTCATCGATCGGCGGCGGCGAGCAGAACTCGGCGAGGGCGGGGTCAAAGACCGGCACGCGGTAGAGCAGCTGCTCCTCCTCGGGCGCCCTCCGCTCGTCCGACGTGGAGGACTCCCCGGCTCCCACCTCGGGCACCACGAGGCGCCTCGACAGCAGCTGCCCGACGCTCTTGACCGGCGGCCGCCGAGTGCGCGCCTTCCGCTTCGGCCACGCCGGCGCGACGTCAAGGCACTTGGACGTCGTCGCCGGCGACCCCTTCACCGCGGCCACGCCCTCGGCCGGCAGCGGGGACGTCGCGCGCAGGCGGAGGCGCTCGTGCCGCCTGGCGAGCGGGTTCGCCGAGTGCACCGACGTGTCGCACGCCTGGCACAAGAAAGCGTCGTCAGCCGCGCAGTACCACCGGGCCCGCCGCCGCATGCACCCGTCGCACGCGCGCGCCGCCTTGCCGCCCACGGCCCCGCCGGCCGCCTTCTGGTCCGAGCCACCCATCTCCGCCGCCTCCAAAACGTACAAACCAGACCACCTCCAGCGCAACAGCAATGCTTCTTCCGGTATCGTATAATCACAGCGATCCTAGCTACCTACGAGAAGATTGCGAGATAGAAATGACAAAAAAGTATCACTGGATTCGGAAGGCTATTTGCTTTGAGCGGCATGGCCCAGCGCTGCCCTTTTCTCCGAGTGAGCTTTGCGCTTTAGGCTCGCGGGGCGGGACCCGCCCGCTGGCCTTATCTGTACCCTGATTGGTTTACCGCTAATGCGCCATCCGATTCCATGATCTGTGATTGGCTGCGGCCAGATTGTGGGCGGGGCCCACCTCGCCTTGTTATCGACACGTCGGAGACGAGAGCTCCTGGAGCCTGGCTACCTGAAAAGTCCTATCCTGTATGTATATATCCACATCGCCAGTCACAGGTAGTAGAAATGAAGAAATGAAATTGCACCACCGAAAAGCGTCACCGGTAAACTCCTCTCCATGTAAAAAAAGAACTTTAGTGCCACTTATATTCCGTACTGAAATTATATGAGACGTACGTACGGTTAAAGGCAGCGCTTTCGAATGATAAACTCCAGCTATTTCCCTGCAAACTCAGAGCCGAACCTGTGGTGGCAATGGTACCATCCTCCTGCAAAAATACAGCTTGCTCAATGCCAGATTCGGCGTCGCTTGCAGAAAAAGTTGAGTTGGTACCAAAGAAGAAATAATACAGGGGTTTGGAGCGTAACAAGGGAGTCAGAGCATTACTAGTAGTATCCCTAAACCCTCAAATCTTCAAAAATAACCGTTTTTTTACGGGTTGCAATAAAAAAAACGCAAAAACTAGAACCCCTAAATCCTCAAACCCTCAAAAAAAAGTAAGGGTCCAACCCTCAAACCCAATTTCAAACCGTAGAAGTGAGGGTTGGAGGGGGCGCTCGATCCCAGCCCGCACTCCCTTCCCCCGTCGCGCGGGAGGGAAGTTTCCCGTCCCCAACCTCCCGCTTCCTCTCTCCCAAGCCGCCGGCCGTCGCCCGCCGCCAATCCGGCCGGCCCCCTGCCTCCCCTCGACGCCGCCGCCGTCCCGCCCCTGCG